TTATTTTTTTTTGAAAAATATACTTTTAGAAAAAGAAATAGTGATTGAATAGCTGCCCATGCTGTAAAAGGGTTATTTTTACAAGTAAAAAAATTGTTATTTTTCGAGCAAGTCGAGGCTTTTTTACCATCTTATTTTTGAAAAATTTACGAAAAATTATATCTGAAAAAACGCTTCATTTTGATATCTTACAATGATAAAATACCAATGTTGCTGGGATATAATAGCTACACCTGGACATCTACTACATTAATGCGTATGACAGGTAAAGTTGATTTCAAAAGTATAGCCTGGAAAGATTACAATAAATCAACGATAATTCAAAAAAATTTCTTATAAGTTAACATAATAAAAATTTAATTTTTATATTGCTTGTATTATACTTAAGTATATAATATATTTAAATCTTAGAATGAAAATTCGGGACGCCCTAGCTATTCAATTTTCCCTTAGGACGCCCATAAACCTCTCGAAAATGTGATGTAAATATCACAATTTTGAGAAATTTACACTAGGACGCCTTAGGACGCCAACCCCCTTTTTTACCCAATATTTCATGAGAACCTACAGCTGTTAATACTATTTAATATTTCGAACATAATAATATGTAGGTATGAGAAAATTAATTTGATTTATATTGAAACTGTCATATTGAATTAAGGGTATAGTCCACTAAAAATTTTTAAGTTTTGACAATGAAAATAAGCTCTGTGACCATGTAAATATATATCTATGCAAAACGAGAGGTTATGCCATAATTTTTTTAGTTATCAAATTTTCCTTTTTTTGAGAGAAGTCTCTCAATAATTTGAGAAGAATCTTTGATATAAAGAGATACACATTTGTAGAACGAAGTAAGTGTTTTCCAAACATTTTATATGTTCATCCTGTATAACAATATAAAGCTGCATAGTGCCATCTTGTGCGTTTGCTATTTTATGTACTTTTCATTGAGATAATCCCTCTTCTCGGGTGAATTTCACAGTCAACTCAATTTTAAAATAAAGATTTCATCAAAATGATTTCGAAATTCGGATATTGATTATATAAATAGCACTGTTAACATATTTTGGATGAGTAAAAAATACCTTGTTTTGTATGCATTTAGTACACCTTTATTTTTGATTAAAACTATAAAATTTTTATTCCTTATATAATAAATAGTATATGTTACATAAACATGAAATTCAATAGCATTCAATTTTGGATTTTTTAGATTTGGTAAATTTTAGAAGAAATAAAATCAGCAATCAAAATAAAGAAACTTTTTTTGTATCTTCTATGATTACCTTTTGGTACTAAATTTTGCATTAATAAGTAAATTATCTGTATTATTCTGTGAGCACAAGCCCTCAGTTATGCTGGTAGTGAATGATGAATCGTCATTTTGCGAAGAGAACGCGATTATTAAGGTAATTTTGAGAATTGTCTTGAATTATTTAAAATTAAAGTTAATTGAATAGGTAGGATAACTAGCCTTTGCTAAATTTGTATAATTTGACCTTATTCTAGTTGGATCTGAGAATATTTTGCTGAAATAATAAATTATATCGCCGATTTATGAAAATTTCTCTGATGGGACCGACTCGCTGAAACGTATTAGTGTTAATGGTAACTTGTCTGAATTTTCAAATTTTTTTCGAAATCCAAAAAATCACAAACAAAAGCATCAAAATTAGATTTGCATTTAAGGTTTTCATTTTTTTTGGAAAATAAAAATATTTTTTCCCCAATAAAGTTTATTTTTACTTTTGAGAGGAATAGAAACGTTATTTTGGAATTTTGAAACGACAGAAATGTTCCATTTTTAATGTAGATTCTAAAATGGGGTCAAATTTTTGATTGAACCGTTATCCATTGAAAAACCTCGATTTTAAAATGTTATTCCAAAATATTCATCTAATGATATAGTATATATTTATTAATTATTACTTTTTATTCAATTTTCACTTTTGGCGGGATTTCATTTTTTTGTTGTTGTATGGGCCATATTGTTCACCCAAAACGGAAAACAAAGGCAATGCATAACATTTTACTCCACGAACGTCGTCGACTCTCAGCGCGACAGATGCTTGGTGCTTGCATAATGACCGGAATGCCATATACAAAAGGTGCTCGCTTTCTTTCTCTTTGTGGAACTAAGCCCCCTGTGAAGAGTGGTGTCATGAGACAACAGAGATTTTGTGACGATAAGATTAGAAGACTTAAAAGTATTTCCCTAATGCTGTCGAGAAAGTCCTTCAGTGGTTACTTATCCATTGATGCAAGATGGACGCACAGGCGAAACTCGCCAAGTTGTACAGTAACTGCGCTCGATGCTGTCACAAAAAGAGTTCTTGCATGCGTGAACATCAACCATATTGGTGGAAACAGACAGCATGCTCAGTATTCCGGAGCTTCCAACAATATGGAAAGTGCTGGAACTCGAATCATCTTGAAGCAATTAAAGAAATACAATATCTTGAAAGATGTTAAAGAGATTATTAAAGACCGAGATAACAAAAGTGTCTCTGTCTTTAAAGAATTTGGCGTCTCTCATCTTGAAAGATTCGATCCAGGTCATGTATCAAAAAATATCTCAAAAGATTTTACAAAGTTCTCAGCTTCTCATAAGACAGTTGAAGTTTTCAACGACAAGACTCAGAAGATTGAAAAAATAGAGAGACCTTTCTGGGGTCTGAATGCAAGCCTAAGTATGTGGCTTTGGTCATGTTTTGCCGAAGAAAATATTGACAAACGTACGAAAATGTGGGAGAATTGTGTCTACCATTACGTAGGCAATCATTCTTTTTGCGAACCGCACAATTACAAATGCTTTGAATGGCAAAAAGGTGTCAATTCGATCCAACTTCAATTCATGCTCTATGACTGGGTTCACAAATGGACACCCATAGTTTCCAAAGTTTCTTCCATTGGATCTACCTGCATGAATGAAGCGTTTAACTCCAAAATTGCATGCTATTTGGACAAATCAAGAGCCTGGAAGACATTTAACATTAGAGTTAACGTTGCAATCTTAGAATGGAATGATCCAGAGCATTTTCTCGGAGATATACAAAAAGCATTACATCTTCCCCACTTCCAGAAGATTGTGTCAAATCATTTGAAGAGAATTGTTACTCCAAAATGATATTGAAACAAAAAACTGTTACAAAAGGTTCTAAAAAACAGAACAAATACAAAAAATCCATTCAGAGTGTACCAGGAGGAGATTATCAAGTTTTCAAGTCCGAATGGGAATCAGAAGACGAAGACATTGATGACTTTGATTAACGAAAATTACATTTTATTTATTGTTTTTGTTTTTAATTAAATTATTATTATGCTCATTTTCTTATTTTGATTTTTTCTCATTATGATATAAATAATTTATTAATGCATTTATCCAATAATTATGCTATGATATTTTTATGCCTTATTTCATTTCTCTTATATTTGATAATCTGGTAAAATATAGTTCAGACTATAATCATTTTAGATTATTGATATATTTATATAGGTTAGAATAAAATTAGTTTCATTTTCTACTTTTATTTTGAATTAATAATTTATAATATCAAATATTATGGCGTAACCTCTCCTTTAAAATATAGATATATATAGGCCTATAGAGTTTATTGGCACTCTCAAAACTCTAGAATTTTGAGTTTACTATACCCTTAAGGGTTTCGTTTTGCTAAAATTGTCACTTTTATAGCATATTTGTTTTTGGATGTTTTGCGAAACCAAAAAAAAAACTATGATATACAATGTGTGTGTAAAGAAAATACTTTATTTACTAGTTAAAAAATCATTTGGTATTGATCAAGTTATTTTTTCTGGATAAGATATTATATGGATAATTGGATAGAAAATACAATTATATAATCTTGTACCTGGTTTAATTAAGCTAATTGTCATCAGAAACTTGTAATTTTTATGAATTTCAGATTTTCTTTTCATTACTGCTTTTCTTAATAGGTCAAGTTCTTATTTACGTTATAAAGTATGATATTTACAAATATCAAGTTATCGTGTTTTTTGAGAAATTATGAGAAACAAACAAAAATGAAAAAGATAGGAATAGCAATGAATAGTGATGTGGGTATAGAAAATGTAAGAGATATGAATGCAAAGCAATCAGTATTTAGGACATTGACCATAGATTTCGAAAAAAAAATGCTGCATATTGAGCGAAAACTATGATTATATTATAAGGCTGTCATTTAAAGCATAATGAAACTATTCCCTTTTCATTTTAATCGAATAAGATAGTAAAGATTTTTGAATTAGCTAGAAACTGATGAGATGTTTTCACAATCAGATTTTTAATCTCTATAATGCATAATTCACTCAATATCTCAATTTTGATATTGCGAGATATTTTTGCTATCGGTTTCGCAATTTTGACACAATAGCAAGAGGGTTCTATAAGCATTATTATCAACGTAGAATCTGAATATCATATCAGAAAATGTCGCAAATCTGACATCTACCCGACCAAATAGCAAAAATAATTGAATACTTTTCGCAAAAACTTTAAAAATCGATAAAAATATGAAATATAGATATTAAAGAGACTTTTTATATAATATTCATAAAGATTTTCCAAAAATATGATACCGCAAAATTAAAAAAGTGACGTCTTGAGTGGAGTCAAAGGTCGAAATTGCTAGCGAAATGTTTTTTTAGCGAAATTGCGTATTGTACGTTTTTTCGCAAAACGAAACCCTTAATTGAATATTGTTATTTCCATTTTGGATAGCATATAATGAAATATATTTCAATAGAATTTTGATCTGCTATGAGTCATTTTGTCAAATGAATTTCAACCACTCAAATTTGAAAACAATACTTTGCTGAATTTTAATCATACTGTCAAATTGTCAAATACTATTTTTTTCTTGATAAAATGTTCAACAATAATGAGTGCAATCTAGAAATAGTTTATTGTCAGATTGTCAGGCAGGTGAAAATCTACTCAGAAAAATTATTCAATAGATACCGATTCATTTTTCAAGATGTTCTTGTACCTTGCATTAGCCGAAGCAAAATGGCCTGGCGTGGAAATGGAACAACATCCATTATACCATCCTCGTTATCAAATGTATAAAAGATTCAAGCAAGACCAAGCATACCCTCTTCATCATCGTAGACATCAAAGAAGAAGTATCCCAATGAAAAAAGCCGAGCAAAACCTTAAATTAGACCCATCGCTCGCATCACAATTAGCAGGCATGCATGTCTGTCAGAAGCCAGCAATCTACTTGTATCCAACAAAGACAACTGATCTTTCAGTTGGCATTGTTCTTCCTAAGAACCAATTCACCACAACCGTTCCAGAATTTACTCATGGAACAATGTGGAACGTTACAGCCAAACCAAACGGCGAAATCATTTGCAAGAATAAAGTTGTCCCATACTTGTTCTGGGAAGGATTGTCTGACATGAAGATGCAGTTCAAGGAAGGCTTCTTTGTCAAGAAGGGTCAAGGAAGAAAGTTCCTTGAGAAGGTATTAACAGCTTTCAACTTAAACGACCGCGAAAAATTTGACTTCATAACATACTGGCTCCCAACACTTAACAGGCTTGGTGACTCATTCGTATCATTCCAGTTAGGAAACTATTGCCATGAAGTTCCACTTGTTTCTTCTGTTGAGCCAGATACAGTCATCCGTGTTTTCATGGCTATCAAGAAGGCAGACTCAGCTGACAAGCTCAAACCAACACAAACAATTCCACACCTTGAGCGCAAGGGCTTCACAATTGTTGAGTGGGGCGGCTGTGTAGTTCGTTCAAACAAGATCAACCACCTCAAGTAAAAATATTTTTTGAGTTTTTCAATTCTATATTTTTTCCAAGATTTGCCAAATACTACTTTTGTGTTTGAAGTGAAATATGCTATCTAACAAAATATATGGCTGATGTTCATGGACTTCGATCTTTTATGATAATCTACCTAAAAAGTAGTAGTATATGAAGGGTTTAGTGACTTTTTTTGTTACATCTATATATAGACGATGCATTAAAATATATTTATTTATAAATCATTAAAAAATTAACATTAATTTTAAAATAATTTATTTTATCTTTTATAAAAGAAGCTATATATAGATGATGTCAGATATTCCGCGATTAATTAAACATTGTTTAAATCCTGAATGAAATCAATGGAGTCATAATCAAAGACCTCATAAACGAGTAAAAGAAATTAGAAATAATTATTTTCATGAATAAAAGATTCACCACCATAATGAAATAAAAAATAAAAAAAATTTTAAAAAAATAAACTTTAAAAATTCATGTCTTACATTTTTGAATAATTTATTTTTTATTTTGTATGAAATGAGTGTCAAAACTAACGACGTGAAAACATTAGGATTCACAAACGAGGAAATAAAGGATATATTATTTAAGAAACTAATGATTATTTGAATTTATGATATCAATTATCTGATTTATTCTTTCTTCAATCTCTTCTATTCTTTTTGTTAAATCATCAATTTTCATTAATGAGGTGATTCTTGATTGAGGAATAGATTTCAAACTAACCACTCCTTTTATTTTTGAAATTTTGAATCCATCAACTTTAAACATTTTATTCAATTTACACGTTGTCAATTCTTCAAATAATTTTTTATTGTTAGCATAATAGTCATTAAATTCTTCAACAGATGAAAAAATTTTTATTTCAGTAATTGGTTTAACAACGTTTATTTTTTGTTGAACATTTTCACTTTCATTTATTTCTTCCTCCTCTGTTTCATTTATTTTTAAAATTGGTTTCATTTATCATTAAATAAAAATTAGAATATAAGTGATGAAATATATTTTTTAATTAATATTAAATCAGAAATGGCGGCAGGATTCTTTAAAAAATTATGGGAAGGAATTAAGAAAGCTGCGGGTTGGGTTTCATCAAAAGATTATTAAACCGTTGCAAACTTTTTGGCACCAGTAGCGAAAACGGCAGGAACTATCATAGGTGGAGTATTAGGTACTAAAGCAGGTAATGCGATGGGAGCACAAGCAGGTAACGCAATTGGTGGAATAGCTGAAGGAATACTTAATAAAATAGGGGGTAGATAGTGGAAAAATAAAATATTATTTTTTATCTTAGTATCGGTTGAAGTCTTTGATAAACTTTTTCTCCTTTATTTAATATTTCTCTTATTGGGGCAGCTTTTGGTGTTATTGATTCAGCAACGTCACTAATTGCTTCTTTATTCTTAAATATCCAATTTGCTCCTTTCTTCATTGTTTCCCAAACTTTATGCGCTCCTCTTTTTACTTTATCCATAATTTTTTAAAGAATCCTGCAGCCATAGTTGATTATTTCATTAAAATTAAAAATTCATTTTCATCTTTTAATTTTGATTTTTTATTTATTAATAAATGACGACTAACTATTTGGTGCCAAACACTAAACCGATTAATGGAAATGTGTTTCATTCATTTGAAAAGATAAATGAAATATTCGCAAAGAATGACGGTAGAAGATATTATAGAGAACTTGAAAGTTCATGCTATGACTCTGATGCTCCATATTTTGATGATAAACAAACTCATTTAAGAATTACAAATCCGGCTCATGATGTGAACCAATTAGGTGACACATATATTAAACGCAAAGTTAAAGCAACTCTAGTTTCAAATAAAGCTTTCACATGTGATGCCGCTTTTAAATGCATGCGTTTATTCGTTGGTTACAAATCATCAAATCAAAGCTTTAAACAATTAGAAGTAGAAACTGAAAGAGGTGATGCCGGTTATCTTCAAATGGATTGCGCCCGTGAATCTTTCGCATTTGCAACATATAAACCAAAATCAGAAAGGAAAGTTAAAAAGTTTGTTCATTCGTTATATAATAATGTTCAAAAATATGATAACTCAGTATGTGGTAAATATATTGACCCTTCAGAAGTTTTCAAGAAAGCAAATGAAGAAGTTGATGTCACTTTTGATATGATTATTCCGGTAAATGATTTGTTAGCATTTCAGGCGTTCGATGATTATCCTAAATCATTTGGTGAAATCATTCTTAAATATTATGTTTTCAGGGATACTTTAGTATTTTGTCAGGTTGACCCGTTAAGAGTTGCTGATTTACAAAATTACGTTTATGAAAAGATAACTGATGAAAATTATGAAAAGATTATGAATCATGTTTATAAATATGATCGCAAATTCCAACAAATCGGACTTCCTGCCAAATTAATTACAAGCTTAGCCGCTACATCTGCTGACGCAACAGTTGATGACGTTATTATTTCATGCACAAAGATGGAAGTTTTAGAGGATAAATGCATTACACCAGGATACGGTTTAATTGAAGAATCAGTTAAAGCAATACCACGTTTATTCAGTAAGGAAGATCCATTCATGATTCCAGCTCAACATATTGACGTTCGTTCACTAAATGGAGGTTGCATCACTCCTGAAGGTATAGCTCAGATTTCTCATACGCTCTTCATAATGTTACAGATGTTGTGTTAACATTTCCGAAGAATGCAATGCAAAGAACAGTTTTAGAAAATCCAATGCTTCGAGGTCTTCAGGTCACTATAGATTCCAGAAACTTCCCCGATCAAGCGATGACCACAGTGGGTGACATATTCTTTACACGTATGCTTCAAGCTTCTGATTTAGATGGAGTGAATGAATGCAGAAGAATACGAGGACTCATTAACTAGACCACTGAATGATGATAATGGCCATTAGCTAGAACATGGAAAGACCAAACTTCATTCTTATGCACTATTCCAGTTCAACGTGATGGAGCGGGTATATTCTTTGATGGATTAGAAACTTTCAACTCACAAGTTACAGTACAAGTGAAAGCTTATCCAATCATTCAGGGTGAAAATGACACTTACTGTTCAAAGGTGACAAATCCTCCTCAGGTTTGGTTTACTAGGACTACGTATTGGACATGGACACCGGATGAAGGTTTGAAATATCATCCAACAGGTACACCACCACAGTATAGAAGTTCATATGATGAAATATTGATGAATAGAAATGTTTAAAATTATAAATTTATTTTTGATTAAATGGATTTAAATTCATCCACCCCTTATGAAGAATTAGCGGAGTATATAATACTACATAGATGATATGATTAATGAAGCATTGAGTGATAATAGAAATGCTCTATCTAAGGAAAAATTAATGAAAATTCCATATTCTGAATGTTATTTAATTCAATCAACTGCAGCAATTGGTAAACAAAATAAAAGGTAAAACATTAACGATATTTAAAACATTATCATTATTGCTAACACTTCCCCCATTCACACGTGTTAATTTATATCAACCGTTCAGGTTCACCTTCAGATGATACTTTGAATCTTTAAAGCATTTAATCAAAATTCCAATTATTTTATTTATCACAAGAAGAAGCAGAAGATTATTTAAAAACTTTTAATGTATAAAGAATTATATAATACAATCAAGAAGCAAGGATTAGAGGATAAAATTATTGATAAACAAAGGGAATGAATTATTTGAAAACACTTTCTATTTCAAATTTTGATAAAGAATTTTTGCATTCACTAATTTTTCTAGATGATGCAGTGAAATCAAACTAATAACAATGAGAAATCATATTTAATCAATTATTAACTCAATGTCGACATATTCAATGTTCATTCTTTATGGCTGTTCAATATTTCAAAGCATTAAGCACAAACATTAAATCAAATCTATACCCTTTTCATTTTCAGTGGGTTTAGTCGTCAACAGTTGAACGTATGCTTTATCAAGTGAATTTACCAATGAGCATTAATGAACTTTACACACAATATCAACAATTAGGAGAACATGGAAAAATAATAGTGATTTAAATAAAGGAGGAATGTTAAATTTGATTAACTTTTTATAATTAATTTTTATTTTTTATTTATAATTAAACATGACAGAAAATAGCAAATCTCTCTACAGGTTCCATTAAAAACAAGGGACAAACAAAAGGGTGCATATAATAGAACTATGAAAGTTCCAGACGGAATGAAAGAATTAGTCCACATTGTTGCTGGTCTTCAAAAGGATGTTAAACAAATGAGAAATGTTTTAACATTACCAGAAGCTCAAGCATATGCCAAACGTCATGGTCCAAATTGGGAAGCACACGAAGCGACATTAGGTCACAAATGGAAAACCCGATGGTATAAATGAAGTTTCGTTACTGATGGTCAAGGAAATATTAAAGTCATAAATGGGTATAAATTAACAATGACGGATTATCCTAAACGTAAAGCATATAATGAACGTTATCCTATGAAATTTGATGAAAATGGAAAAGCTGTTAAACAATACATTGGAGAAGGTGAACATGGTCCAATGTATTCATACCATCTTAATCCATATTCTTATTTCAATGAAGAATTAAATGCTGTTGAAGAGGGACCGGATGGATTACCACGATATGTTAATCAGTTTGATGGTCAATATGCAAATATTAGACCTGAAATTCCAGCTAAGAAATTCTTTAAAGTTGCTTTATTCGATCCAGTGTTCAATGAACAGAAAGAAGCAATGAAAGCAGAATTTAAACCAATTCAAGTGGCAAGAATTTCTTCATCTTCACTTTCAGAAGCGTTCAAGGAATTGATAAAGAAACCACTTTATTCTCAACAAGGTTATAACTTTGATTTAATTAAAGAAAGTGATAGACGTAAATTAGAAAAATCAGATGGTTTTAAGAATGCATGTAATGAAATGATTAAAGATATTGTAAATGATAAAATAAGACTGGAAGAAACTCAAAGCAATATCAATAACATAATTGGTGCAGTTACAAAGAAAGTATAAGCAAACAATG